GGATGCTGAATGATTTTCTTCATTCCATAATATGCACTCCCATTTACATCTTATTTTACGCATTTTTAAAATCTTAAATATGTTCAGTTTCATCCATTTAAAATGTCATAAATAATAATTATATTATAGTGAATTCTTCCCGCGTATTAACTTTTACAGTGAAATTTATTTTCTTAATAATGATAAAAAATAATACTTTAAAACGATCATTATTTTAAGTGTTAATCGTTTAAAGATTGTTTAACTGATTTATATTTGTTCACTTTAAGATTATTTAAAAAATCTTTTATTTTTAATAATAATATTCCAAAGATAAGATAGTTATCTAATAATATAAAGATAATCTATATCTGATAGAAATGATAATGATAGAATGAGTATAACCTAAATATTGTATAACAAATAAAAAAGCAAAGTTCGTTTTATCCTGTGAAGCAAAAATTCTTAAGCGTACAACACATAATTTTGATTTATGCAGTGGAGTGCCGGCGAACGCGCCCACGCCTCTCTTTCGTCTGTTTGTACTCGCGTACGTGTACTCTCCCATGCGATGTACGACAAAAATATCGTGACCTCATCCACATTCATGGAAGAATTTAATTTAGGATTTAGTTTTGCATCACTGTATTTTTTATACCAAATGTGAAGTTATATTAATAAAGAATCTGTTAATTTTAATTTTAGGAAAATGGTTTAGTGCGTCCATCTTACAATTTCTTTTTATTTCTTTCTGAATTCTAATTCATTAAATAAAATAGAGGTATCTGTTTTTACTGTGCGTTGACAGTATTATATACTTATTGATTAATTCGCAACTGGACCACAATTCTTAAAAATTTACACGAAAAAGGAGATGGTCAAATTGTCGGAAACATTTTTGTTTGCATTTAGTTTGTACAAGGATTATACGCTTAAGAAGGATACGCTTCAATTACTTTGATATGGTAGTGTAACTATTTTATACTTTTACTTTACGTTACTCGAGAACTGAAATATTAACGTCCCTGCATGAGAAAAAAACACAGTTTATAAACGCCAAGGAAAATAAAAAGCCAAGGAAACATGGAAGTCGATTACATTTATAAAAGTTAATTGAAAATGTTTTTTACCAACCGAGAATTTTATTGATGGTTGTTTGAAAATATTGTTTTCTGTATTTCTTCTAAATAAAATCTTTAAATACACCAAATTTCATATTTCTCTTTTCGTATTCTTATCGTTTTATTTTCGTAAAATACCAAATGCCTCTTTTTATACTGTAATATACCCGATTTTAATGGATTTAAGAGTTATAAATTGCGGCAATTTTCTCTTTCTTTAGGTTGATGTAATACGATAAATATGCTCTCATAGTTATTATCATAATAAGTATAATCACACGATACTTTTGATACACGTTAAGGTGACTAAATACATTTTAAGATTATGGCCAAACAGTTTGTTTGTTTAATAAAAAATATTTGTTTTTTTATGTACAGTTTTTTTATTGTTGAGTTGATGTCAAAGTCCCAGTTGATTCTCTAATCACAAGACGGAAGAAAGCTACGCGACCCCCCTTCGAATTATTGCCATCATCCCATCTTTTCATTGCCCGATTTTTGTTCTTTTTCTGTACCACCTGAAATTACATTTTCAAGGAGGGTTGGCATCAGCCCGGTATGCAGGTCAAAAGGGAAATCAGACAAAACATTTAGCTATGTTACATATTGCGCCAGTCGCAAATTAAACTGAGAAAAAGGGCAAGAAGAAATGGTGTAAAAATCGATGCACCAGCCTTTATAACCGACTTCAAAAAAGAGGAGGTTATCAAAGCGGATATTTTTTTGTATGTTCGGGCATAACTGCGTCATATATAGACAGATTTTCAAAATTCTTTTTTGTTGGAAAGGGGTTTATTCCAAAATTGTCCCATTTCAATTTCATATGGATCTAAGGATGAGTTTCGGAGACAGACAGCGGCACTCCTCAAAAAACGACAGTAAATCAACCGCGATTGTCAACCTATAATCATTAGTGACGTCAATGATCTGATCTGGCCATATACCAAATTATTTCAACTTACGCACCACTCTTCCAACGTCATCTAAGGACCACGTGGTCTGTGTTAAGTGTAGAGGCAGGATGTGTAAACCGGTGTTTCTATAGACGAGATACTCCGTAATGGGATTGCAAAAAACTATAATAATCTCTAATATTCCATACAAATTTCCAATTAAGAAAGTTTAGTGGGTCCTAATAAGTTTAATTAAGAAAATAACATAGAAACACTGTTTATGTAATCTGTAAGATAATCGGATCTGATTGGATCAGCCATCTTAGCGGAATCGGTAAATAAACAGAAAAACTATATTTTTTTTGGATTCGGTCAAAAACGAGTTGCAATAAAATATTCTGTTACTTTAAAAATAACACAAATCAATTTGACGAGATTAGGAAAGCGGAACAAACTAACCAGTGAAAATGGCGATACAAAAAATAAAGCCTCTATAGTGTGTGAGAAAGTGACCATAATTATTTATAACAAGAAAGGAATGCAGGTGTTCCAAACATTTATACACTCGGTTCCAAAAATTACGGGTCAGTCACAAAAATTGAAATACCTCCAGAACTGTAAAAGTTAGATCAATGAAATAAAAAACAGAATAAAGACTTTTTAGTTGCGCTTCTAATAGCATATTATTTAAACTGGTTGATGAAAAAAACTTCATTAGAAAAACAAAATTTAAAAAAATGACTATTTTTAAAAACAAAATTTTTGTTTCGTTTCATTATAGATGCTTTCCATTTCTATTCTGTCACAAAAAAATTTATCGTGAACGTCTTCCACGTGCATAATTATTATTCTGTGAGGTGAAGCATGGCAGTCACGCTAGAGGAATGTACCAGAATCCTAACTTTTGTGGAACTTGGGCGGAGTCAGCTTGAAACAGCCAGAAACATTGGTGTATCTTTGTCGACTGTTCAGCGGGTAGTCCAGCGGTACCAAGAGACCGGATCACACCTTAGAAGACCAGGAAATGGCAGACCAAGATGCACAACGGCCAGGGAAGACAGACAACTGGTGGCTACAATGCTCCGAAATCGTTTTTAAACTGCTGTTGGTCTAAAAACTCACTTTATTCGCTTTGGAGGTGGCAATTTAAGCGCTCAAACAGTAAGAAGACGTCTTGCTGAAGCAAATTTGAAACCATTGAGGCCCGCAAATGGCCCCAAACTGGAACGGGGACATCGAATTGCAAGACAGAGATACGTGCGCGAGCACCTAAACTGGACACTAGACGATTGGTCTAGGGTAACGTTCACGGACGAGTCTAAATTCATGCTTTATAGGCATGATGGTAGGCAGTTGGTGTACAGAAGACCAGGGGAGCGCTTCCATCAAGCGTGTGTGGAGGAAAAAGTGGCGTAGGGTGGAGGCTCCGTACAAGTTTGAGCTGGGATTTCTACTGAGGCCCGCACCGAGCTGGTACTCATTCAAAATGGAACTCGAAATGCAGAGAGGTACGTGGAAGAGATCCTCAATGAACATGTAGGTCCTTTCATGGCCAGGATGGACCGGCATGGCATACTAATGCATGATAATGCGCGTCCCCATACCGCCAGAATTGTACATGACTACCTTGAAGAGGTCGGTATCGAACTCATGCAGTGGCCAGCGCGAAGCCCGGACTTAAACCCCATCGAGCACGCCTGGGACGAGCTTCAGAGATGCGTGAAAGGTCGAAACCCCCTACCAATCACGCTTCCCGAGCTCAAACAAGCACTGGTGGAGGAATGGGAAGGTATTCCTCAGCACCGGCTCCGAAATTTGGTGTACAGCATGCCTAATCGCCTGGAAGCTGTCAGAAGAGCTCGTGGAGGCAATACAAAGTATTAAATGAAGAAAGTGATGAAAAACAGCAAAAAAACAATCATAAAAAAATGTAATCTTAAGAAAAAGATGACTACCTTATTTTTATTTTTTAAATTTAGAGATAAGTTAAGAGTTAGAGAGTTTAGATTTAAGTTTTATTTTATTTTTTATCTGTATAATTAAATTCTCAATTGAACAGTCTTCGTTTCATTAGGATGACATACGTAGTTCGGGAGATATTCGGGTTTATGTGACTGACCCGTTATTTTTGAAACCAAGTTTAATTCAATAGCTTACCTCTGAGAACTAACCTAACTATAACATATTTTTAACTTTCGTTAAAAAAGTATCACTCGACTTTAATGATCAATATACGCATATCAAAGCATAATTTTGTACCATTAGATATTTCCTAACATTTAAATAGTCGACTTAGCAATCGGTACGATATGCACACGAAAAAAAATCATATTGACAAACTAGAAACCTCTTTGCAAGTCGGTTAACAATAACAAAAAAGCGATACGCGTTTTAGAGTACTTCTATAGTGGTTTAAAACATGGTGAATGTGTCACCATGTTTTAAACCACAAAAAAGATACAAACTATTACTAACGATCTGCAATTATATGGACGTAAATGTGATTGGCGTTCTGTAAAAGTCACGCTCTATTGCTTACTAATTTTGTAATATCAACCTATCCGGTGTGTTATGATTATATACATAGTTAAACACAATAAAGGACCTGGGCATCAGCGTTATTTCTGTGCCTACCTATAAGGAAACGATATCACTGTTAAGATATTATTATTAATTATTCTAAACTTACACTCATTTATTTTATGTTTCTAACTTGTACCAAACTTCAATACGTACTTAATCTAAGAGTCACTCACTAAGACTTTTTTCGATTATTATGTTTATTGATATTATTAAGAGTAACCATTTGTTCCCATAAATAGAGTCTGTTATTTAGGTCCTGGACTTGCAAATATTTAAAATATATAAAAAACAGTACAATAATTCGCATCTAAACCGCTCTGCCCAAAGATTGGCCAATATATTGTATAGAATTCAAGATTACGAAGTGACGATAATTATCAATATCAATTATTATTCAACGTAGTGCTAGCAAGTGTATACTCACGGCAAGCTCTTCACTGGTGTAGGCTGTGAGGATACGACGGTCCTGCTGCAGCACACAGTAAAATGGTTCCCAGGACAGAGGCACCCCTACTGCCGCACCTGCCACTGCACTTGATGCCCCATCTGATGACAAATCAAAAAAGCATTTCAAACTCTGATCCAAGCTTAGAACGAAAAGTGTTAACATTTTTTTCAATCATTTCTTTTTTATAAATGATATTTATTTCTGTAATTTTTACAAGTCGGACTTTACAGCTAGAAGGAGCCGGCATTTCCTAAGACTCACTCTGAGAAGAAAGGTTTAATAATTTGCAATTGGTTTTAGAGGAACTTGTTTTTCTTTAAAACTACCTTATGACAAAGTGCATTAATTATACTTATGGTTGTTTGAGTATAAGATATTTCTTTCCAAGACCTCTATTTAAGTTTGGTAGAACACCAAAAACGTATTGTTTCAGAGATGATGTTTTCTTACCAAAATTTTACTTTCTCACGTCAGATATTTTTTGTCTTTTGTTAACCTATTTTATAAATCAGAATGACAGGAATAGCTTAAACAATTTCAACAAAAGAAGATCAATTCAGATTCACGATCGGGAAATTTGACCCGAAGAAAGTAGGTATAAGTTACAGTGTGACAATGTCGAAGTATAATATATAAAAATATATATAATATGAATAATAACTTTATTTGAAGTCTGTTTTATTATGTGATTAACATAATTTGTATTCCAATGATAGCCACACTAGGCTAAGCCTGTATCTCTGAAAAAAAATTGTTAATCATAATCTAGGTCTTCCATATAAAGCTCTATCCAATCTGACAACTAATGCCCTAAGCTCACCTCTTAGCTAAATCTATTTTTACCTACTGTCGTTATTAGTTTAATAATTAAGACTGATCCTATGACAGTAAATTGTAATATAAAACGAAAGGTGCTTACCTAATTAACAAGACGCCATAATTTCTATAACTATATACGACCAGCTGAACGCTTTTACAAATAGGTTAATAATATGCTTCTGTCTATCGTGACTTATGTACTTATTAGAGACGTATATATTATATACTGAGTATCGTGTCTATCGTGACTTTACCGTTTAATTAAACAACAACAGAGTACTTGATTACTAAGAAAAGTAGGACTTTGGCCAATCTGATAACATTGAAAATGCCATACATATATGAAGGTATATGGAGCATAATGTCTTGACGTGACGTAGTTACTTAACGGAACGGTATTGGTTACAATAATTGAAAAAAAATCAGCTATCTTTACATTTAGTACCAATATTTTTATCAAAATAAAGATTTAGGTTTAACAGCAACTGATAACTCGTTTGGTAAAAAGAATTTTCATCTCAAGCTTACGGCGGTGGATAGGTTTTTGTATTCGCGATTGCTAGTTAAGGCAGCACCGGGGCGAGGGTTAATGAAAGAAACAAAGAGTACGGTACCTTTAACGACTTACATAAAAGAAAATGGTAGTATTTATATCAGAGCGAAGCTTTAAAAACTGACGTAGTACTTAAAACTTTACTAGCAATTATAATTAACTATTATTACTACTGATATTATGATAACTACGTTTTCTTTTCGACTATGGAGACACAAAGACACATTTTGATTCTCATAGTAATTCGAGCATAGTATTATTTCACTACACACTGTGAAACATTAATGTGGCTTATTAAATAAATATATGTATTGCTCAAAAGAGTTTTGCCAACGTTCACCTACTAAACCATGCATGTTACTTTTAATTAATATGTAATATACATAGTTTAACATATATTTACACACAACAGTATTACACAACATCAATCCTTTTTTAATACCATAGAAGTGTTTCCAGACGATGATTTCGTTAACTTTAATGCCTAGTTTATATGAGTGCCGAGGATTGGCAAACGTCCACAAGCTCCAAGTCTTTACAAACGCTTGGATGCCATTAACACGCTTGCGAGTGTGCTATTGTGTTCCGGACAGGCAAAAATAGTAGACGTGGATATATTTTATTCCAAACATAAACGACGGTTAGTGCCGTCGTTTATATTTGCCGTCGTTTACTAAAAGAAAATATTCTCTAGCTCTCTGCTCAACTAAACTGCTCAATCAGTAGAGCATTGAGACTTAATGTTGATATTCCCGACTGCTCAACAACAATACTTTTAATATTAAATTGAGCAGTAGGGAACAAGCACGCGTCAACGTGTAGGTAAATACGTCGCAAACGCTTGCCGCGAGCTTCCTTTTGGTCTGTGTTCAAAAGCGAGCCGAGCCAAACATCCCGTTTACACGCTTGCGTTTGTGGACACTTGTCGAGGCTCGCCATGCGCATAAACGGCCTATAAAGATATTTCAAAACTTATAATATTGTGATATGATATGATATTATTTAATAACAAAATTACTTTCGGAGTTTATACAACTTTTCGCCCATTGAATTACGAACAAACTTTACCTAATATTAACACTCTAAACGCTTCTTAGTGTAGTCGTTAGTGTATATTATTATGCATAATTCATGTCCGCTATTAAATAACTACAATTTAAAAGATGAGATTATTCCTTTGTTATGATTATTTGATGGTCAAGTAATTTTATATTTAAAATTAATAAAGATATTATTTTGTATTGCTACGGCCACTATACCTTATACACAATATGTTAGGTAACAAATATGTAAATTTCTGAACATTTTGTGGAAAAAAATTGGGTTGCTAACATTCTATACAAACGTTTCAATGGCAACTAATCTAATCCCAAAAGTAATAATTTGCATTTTTTATTTCTTGAAAAGACTTCAGTTCTTGACAGAAATGCGCAATACAGCGTGAATTAAAGTTCAAGACAAAACTTTAGTGATCTTTTAGTTTTTGTCTAATCAAGTCTTCTTTTTTCTATAAATAGAAACAATAGTGGTTCTTTATAAAAATACCAGCACTATATACAAAAATTATTCACCCTAGCTTAAACAGGACAAAGACAGTAATTGAAACACTTATTGAGCTAATAAAAAGCATCGCTGCAGCGACGCCGCGTCCACATGGATTAATGCGTTCCATTTAATCTATTAAACAGTGACTCAGGGATCCAAACAGAGTGGGGCAATAAACTACAGAAGGAATCAGACAGTAACTTGGGTTACTTTTATATTTTAACACTAATTTCGATCACACAATTTATAAGAATACTTTAGTACTACTCAAAACCCAAAAAAAAGTGTATATTTATATTAATATGTACACGGAATATAAAACTAGGAGCTAGTCCTTTGTGTCTAATGGCAATCTTTTATGCTAAAACAGCATGGCAGGCAAAACAGAAACGCATACTAACTGAGCTAACAGCTCAAATATATTTATAATAAATAAATAAAAGAGACTGAAGGCATATGCCTTTTAGTGGTCAGTCACTTGACAAGGGCTAGACTTATTTAACTAATTATTTCTTTAAATTGGTAATAATAGTCCGAATATGGTTTTCAGAGACAGAAAAAATAGTTTTTCTGGAAAATGCAAATATTCGACGACAACTTTGTTTTTACTAACTTTTAAACTTTCGCGTTCCATGATAATTAATATTATTTAACGGGAATTAACGCGATCTCTTATTTAGGGTATTACATACCTCTGGTTTGCCTGACGTTTCGACCAGGTTGCACCGGCCGTGGTCACAGGCTGACTGGCTCATCGGCGCACGCCCTCCGTCGTCGAATCCGTGAAGTAGAAGGCTCTTCATCTACCCGCACATTTTCGATATTATTTTTGTGTCGCCATGTACCGTCACATACCACACTAACAGTGTCCCTATTCTGTAAGCAAACCGATGAGTCCCTATTCTGGTGCTACCGGAAGCTCATACATAGGCCAAACTAAGCGGACTATTGCAGAAAGGGTCAAAGAGCATATCGCTGCTGTGAAGAACCGACAGACGAGCAAATCAGCGATTGCAGAACATGCACTCGATGCAGGCATCAACCACTGGATTGAATTTCACCGCACGCAAGTCCTCTCCACCGAACGTCACTTTTACTCAAGAGTTGTACGTGAAGCGATTGAGATTAAAAAGCATAAAACTTTCAATCGGGAAGATGGTTTTAAATTATCTACAGCGTGGAATCCAGTGTTAAAAAACATACCACCTCGCTTTTCTGCGCAATCGGTTAAACACCAGAATAGGGACTCATCGGTTTGCTTACAGAATAGGGACACTGTTAGTGTGGTATGTGACGGTACATGGCGACACAAAAATAATATCGAAAATGTGCGGGTAGATGAAGAGCCTTCTACTTCACGGATTCGACGACGGAGGGCGTGCGCCGATGAGCCAGTCAGCCTGTGACCACGGCCGGTGCAACCTGGTCGAAACGTCAGGCAAACCAGAGGTATGTAATACCCTAAATAAGAGATCGCGTTAATTCCCGTTAAATAATATTAACTTTGTTTTTTACATAAAATAAACTAAATGAAAGGAAAACGTTTGTCATCTCAGCTATTAATATTAATAAAATCAGGGTACTGTCACCTAGTTGTTTCTAAAGTGCAAAGGCATACATGTTGTTGACGCGTTGTTGTTGACAGCAATTAGCTTGAGGGTGATTAAAAGTACATTGAGTCACAATGAATACGCGCAGAATAATTTCTCTTAATGAAATACTTATATACCTTAAGTATTTGAAATTATATGATACAATATAATAATAATACTTTAATACACTCACCAAACGCCATCTAGTCCCAAACTAAACAGAGCTTGTACTATGGCTACTAGACAACTGATATAAAGACATAAATACTTTTTTTTTGTAAATACATACTTATTATACATTGAAACACCCAGACCAAATGAAACATGAAATGTTCATGCACACAAATGTTTCCCTTGCGCGGGAATCGAACCCGCGACCTTTGGAATAGCAGCCCGTTACACAAACCACTACGCCATTCGGTCGTCGTAAAAAACGTATTAATGACTAATAGTTTGCACATATCATAGTCGTAAAAAGTTTCCTTAGGTAAAACAATCCGCGTTGAATGATAAGCAGCTGTCCCGCCACTACAAACGAAAAAGAACAAAGTATCATGTTATATCAGTTAGGCTAGCTGCTATCGTGCTTATATAAAATCGCCATCTAATAACAGAGACTTAAATTTCTCTACATTTTTCCCAGTTCCAAACGA